CGCGATGGACAGATGCAAGGCCTGCAGCTGTTCCTGTCTACGAAGCTCAGCACGCTGATGATCACATAGTGCGGTCCATAGCTGCGGCTTTCTTCTGGAATGCATGGTGTGTGCGGTGGCAGCAGCTTTGTCAGCCGCTTCGTTCCAAAACATGGTCCAGGAATCCACTGCATTCACGCAATCATCCTCGGTGCGATGCGAGTTGATGTGTTGTCCTCGGATGCGATCACCCACCCTTTTCACAAGCTCCTGACACAAGGTCCAGAGATCCTCATTAGAGCTGTATGGCAACAAGTCAGGCGTTTCCAGCAGTCTCCAGAGTCCAGTGGCTGCGTAGCCACTGTCCATCCAAACGGTGACCTTAGTATTGGTTTCATCCGCCCAAGTCAGTGCCGCCAGAAGTGCGGTAACTTCACTTCTGTCCACTGTCTGTGCTGGCCCCGTCAAGGGCCCCGATGCCAAGCACAACGCATGCGTGGCTGAGACACAGGCCCATGTAGCCAATGCACCCTCGACCATGCTTGGATTCTTGCAGGAGCCATCTGTAAACAGATCAACCCAGTTCTCCTGATTCAGTGTGCAAAACTGAAAATGAAATGTGGGTGGTTCCAGAGGTCCAAGTTCAAGGAGCCATTCATGCCAGTGAGGAAATTGTTCAGGCAAAAGTCTGTGACGTCGACTTGGAGTGAGCCAAGGCCTCGTCATGTCCTTCTCGAGCCTGAGCCAGTGCTGGGCAATGAAGGATCCTATGGTCAAGATCATCAGGTTGTCCACAATGTAAACAGTTGCCACTTTGAAAGGTGTCAAATTTGCTCTGTTGCTTAGCTGTCATGAATGCGCCCTCGTGCAAGGCGGCAATCTGAGCCCGTGCTAGCGGGTCTAACTTCGCAGAAGCTCGCAAAAGAACTTGCCTGTTCAGACAGACCAGACCACGAAAGTCTTTTCGCCGCCCCACTTGACGACTCACCCTTGTGACCAGGCGCTGGTAAGCAAGTCTTCAAGAACTCCTTGTGGTACAGCTAGCAGGTCAATGGGGTAGCCCTCATGTGGTTGTACCCATGGTGGCTCAAGAATGCGCCATTGGATTGCTTCAAGCACCTCCAGCAGCTTGGAGAAAGGTCCGGCGCGGACAGTTCCCGTATATGCATTCCAGCGCAAGGTCCACAAGTGCAGCACCTCATCCTGTTTGTCTGACATTCTGCGGAAGTCACACAAGACTCGTTGCAACTGATAATATCCAGGATCACAAAGCAAGGAGGTGCCCAGGAGCATGCGCATCAAAGGAGCTGCCCCCGCCCGACCATGACCCAGTGCTTTGAGCGCTTGTGTGCGCAGGCTATCAATGTGGTTCTTGCCAAGCAGACAGACAGAAATGCCATGAAAAGCCTTGGGCCAGAACATAGTCACCAAGATGTGCTGCTTCAGTGTCAAGTCTGCATCAAGCTTTCTGAGCTTACCCCACAGATGTTCCAACGCATGAAGCCTGAGGAGCTGCACACCCACCCTCTTGTGTCCAGTGTAACTGTGTTGCACACCTAAATCACCTGCTTCTGTGCGGACGTCATAGCCCAATGTGTGCAATTCATTTACATCAGCTCGGTTGGTGCACCAGGTCCAGCTCTTCTTCACATCCATGTCTAGCTTCCAGAGACTCAGGAATTCTTGAAGCACTAGCGTGCCGTGCAAGAGTTGGTTTGCCTGCTCAGCTAACACACCTATGTTGTCCACAAAGGTCAGTGGAACTACCTCGGGTGCAAAGTGCTTAGAGTAGTAGTGATAACAAAGATCCACTATCCCCATGGCAAAGCAGCTCATTGCACAACCTTCCGGAACGCCAGCATTTGAAGTGTGAGCTTCACTGATCTCACCCCGAACCTGGAATGGAATGAGGACCAAGCATTGAGGATTAGCTCCGGTGCTCCAATGTGAAGTGCAAGCTCAAGCATCGGGTGGCGGGGGATGCATTCGAAGGCCTTCTGGATGTCAGTGACCAAGCCTGTCATTCGTCCCTCGGTGAGTGACATAAGCTCAATGAGACCTTGCAGGAGAAAAGAAATCTCCAAGCTCTCACGGCCTGGAAGAAAACCAAACTGAGTGTCGTCAGCTATCGATGCCAGAAATTTCAGCAAGGGTCTAGCTCTGGCCGTCGACCAGGATCGATAAATTGCTGAAAAGATCACAAGAGGACGAAATTGTCCTACAGTCTCAGCCCCCTCCAATTTGGCCAAACACGCTGTGAAGCCCGTCAGGAGTTGCGCTGGCCATCGACCCTCCACCTCCACCTGTTCCAGAATTGAAAGCAGGGCTTCACGAAAGGATCTGGGCATCTTCTGAAGTTCACGTGGATGATACCCGTCAGGGCCTCGAGCTGACTGATCCCCATACCTGGCATTGGCTCTGTCCCAGGTAGTCAGGCTGATGGGAGTGTACCTCTGTTTGCAAGACGGCAAGAATGACTTGCCAAAAGCAAGGATTCGTTCCCAGGCTTCATGTGGAATGTCTGCATGTCTGCTCCACCTAGTCTGCCAAAATTCACCAAGGGCTCTATGAATAGTGGGAACCTGCACGCAGTGACTTCTGCATGTGATTTGTTGACCCTCGAGCACAAGGCAATCCGCTTCCTCAATCTCGTAAAGAGTGCCTTCCAGTTGCTTGAGCCGCACCTCATTAATATCTTCGATCCACCATGATAGATGATCATGAGTGGTGTTTCCGAGCTCCTCCTCCAACTGGATCTGTTTGCCATCAGTAGAGACAGCCATGATTTCGGTGGTGGCTGCTGTTGACAGCGTATCAATGTAATCCTTCTGTTTATCTCTGATCTGCTTGAAGGCAAGATGCTGATGCTGCCTGATCTTCGTTTTGCCAATCTCCCTCTGTTGTCTCAGGTGCCAGCTTTCAAATTGCCTATAGTTTTGCATGAAGTCTTCAAAGATTCTATCGATCACTGTCTTGGCCACAAGTACTCTTTCCAGATGTACCGGTGAGCCCTGTAGCTGTATGCGACGTGTTCTCCACCATGAGGCAAAGCCACCTCGAAACCCTTTGGCCCTCAAGATGGAACTCCAGGTTTCAAGTCTAAAGCAAACACACTGTGCAGTATCCGAGTTTCTTTGCAGGTTCTGCTTGAGCGCTTGCAACCGTCTGAGTTGTTTGAACCAAAGTTGCACTCCTCTAGAGACAAAGTCAGAAGTGAGCCGCACATCTCCATGTCTGGACGCCCTCAGCAGGGGTGCCTGTCTAGGTTGTTGGACAGGCTTCACATGCTGTCCTCTGCCTCTCCATTGGCTGGGCAAATTACCATCACCACTGTTTACATATGTGTTCAAACTGTCTTCGAATGCCTTTGACCATTCACGGAACCTACTTGTGGGCTCAGTTTCTTGAAGCTTCACTTCAGTTTGGTCACAGGCTTGTCGCCATTCTTCCACCTGGATTTTGTCCCAATCAAGTTGGCCTGGCATCGGCCAGATCCATTTGGGCACTCCGGAGCTAGGGGCCTGAAAGTGGCCACAGACGGCAGCGTGGTCTGAAAAAACAGGCAATACCTCTGATCTCTGGAAGAGTGCCACAAGCTCTGGGGAACAAAGAACAAAATCCTTTCTGGTAACTCCTTTGCAAGTGGGTTGAATGGGGTCACCATGGAGCTCCCAATTCAGTTCCTGCACCTCTCGCCAGCCCATGCTTCTCCACAAGTCAGTCGCTGGAAGGTCCTCGAGCAGGTGATTGAAGTCTCCGGCTATGAATCTGCATCCCTGGCGGTTGAGAACTATGGTGAGCGTCAAGGACTCACAAAGACGATTGGTCATCTTTCTTGCTGCTGGCCACGTCGGCCCAGGTGACCATCCATAGATTGCAGCCCCAGTGATCCCAAGACTGCCAACCCAGTGTTGTGCTATGGCAACTCGGCCTGACTTGAATTCACCCTGTGGCCATTGGCAAGAAATCTGTCGGCTTGGAACGTCACCCAGGTGAAGGACTCCACTCCAGGTGCCTGCTGTGTCCGATCGGGCACGGAGTGGAACCACGGCTCCAGGCACCGCTCGAATGAATCTGTCTTCCTGACTGCCGAGATATTTCAGCTTGTTTAACGTGGGCCGCATCAAAGGCTGACTGAGATGAGTTTCGCTAATCGCCCAAATGCCCTGGGGGAGGTCAAGTAATTCCCTTTCCTTTCCTCTGATCCCAGTGGGATTTGCTGTGCCAATTGCAAAACATGCCTCATCATGTATCCAGGCTGGACCTGGATTGCTTGCTTCACCCACTCTGTAGTGGGGTCGTCCGCTCTTGAACGAGGAGGCTTCACGCCAGGAAGTCCCCGACCCAAAGTAGCAGTACATGGCAGAAGCCATGTCCGCTCTGAGAACCAAGTGCCGGGCAAGGGAAGACCTGGTGTGTCCCTCCATGTTCACTTGAGCTTTGTCATCTTGAATTTGCCACTCATCGGCAACCCAACAGGGCTGGCAACCACATGCACATTTGATCTGAGCTGCTCCCCATGTTGTACTTCACTGACACAAGGCTGTAGGCATAGAAATGCCACTAGCCAGCAAAACCATACTCTGATGCCTATGCTTTTGCCAGGCTTCCCTAGGCGGCATCTGACCCAGGGACCTGATCGCCCTAGTCAACCACTTGGACTGTTGCTGGCCACACGCGGCCGCTTGGACAATAACGCTTCAATCTGGTTGAAGCCCTTCTGCATGCTTTCATTGACGTCCATTTGCAATTGGGCAAAAGTGTTCTTGGTCTCTTGCCCTTGCTTCTGCACTGTGGCATCTAGCGATTTCATGTCCTCACGTTGTGTTTGTAGCTCACGAGCAAGATTGTCGACTCGTGCACCAAGTTCTGTCTGAATGGCCGCAGTGTGCTCGAACCATTGGTCATATCGCTGCGAATGGGCACGGATTTCACAGACTGAGGTCTCCAGCCTGCAGAGGCGCACATCTTCGTCCCAACTAGATTGCATCTTTGCATCCTCTTCACAAGCAGCCTGCTCTTCAAGTTCTCTCCGGACTGCTGGCTGTTCTAACGTCAGCTCGAAGCTGGTGTTCAACCTCCTTGATCTTCGCCACCACTGCTGGCTTCTTGTCACTGGATGCTGGTTGTCCTGCCATCACTGGTTTGAAGTTTGACCAGGGGTCCTGTTGGAGCCAAGGATCTGCCGCAGGGGCTCCTGTGCTGCTGGCCGCCTGCTTCAAGTGCGATCTGGTTTTGAAAGAGCTCAAGATCTTGGGGGGCTCCCGGACTTGCTGAACTGTTCGCACAGGGGTGACAACAACATCACCATGTGCACCTTGCAGGACCATGCTTGGAGGAGCCTTGCCGCTCCCGACTTGCCAGCCAGCGCCCTCCGCTCCACCTCTGGTGGGTTGCAAAGGCTTCGCTTCCCAGCCCCATTCTTTCAGGCTCTTCTGGAGTCCCTGCCTGGTGGTGCCATGTGGCAGAGGGTACATCACAAAGATCCTGTCAAGTGAGATCTTGCTGTATTGCTCTCTGGGTCTGAGCTCTTTGAAAGCTGCTTCCATGTCCTCGTCACGAAATCGCAGGCCCCACCGATGACCAATGCGGGCTATGGCAACTGCACCTTGCATCGTCTTCTTCTTGTGTTCAGCTTCTTTGAGGCCTTGCTGTGGGAGCCAGATGACCCCATATTCATCAGCCGGGCCTTTGCCATCCTGCTGTCTGGGTTCCAGGTATATGCCATGTTGACCTGAGACACCCTGGATCCATTCATCTGCATCATCAAGCACCCTCATCATGACTGAAAAGAGGCCCGCCTTGTCAGGCGTGACCCTGCCTCCACCATCTGTCTTTGCCCATCGTCTGTCCCACAAGTCCGTGATCAGACTGTCGCATTCGACATCAACTGGTGCATGATATCGTGGGCAACCTCCTCCACAAGCAGCTCCCCTGCAAAGCGTCAATGCCTCCTGATTTTGAAAGAGTGCCTTCATAGGGCCTTTGCACAGATCTGCCCAGTGCAGGTTGCTGGCTTCCCATTCATCTCTGAAGACAACCAACTTGAAGGTGCAGGTCTTGTTGGCCTCAATCACTGGCTTGACACCGTCTTGCTTCCGTGTCACTGTGTTGTCACCCAGCTGGATCAACGATCCCTGTACCAGGACAGGTTCTTTTGTACCTGCATACTCCGCAGGGAACCTGATCTGTGTGACCGGCAGGAGACCTTGTTGTTCATGTGGAACTTCTTCCGTGGTGATGACTGCCAAAGGCTCCAAGCTAAGCGACTTCCCCTCAACCAGGAACGGCAGGATTTGGCCCACCGTAGCCAATGCAATGCCAGTGGCGTGGGCCTTGACCTCATCAAATTGGATTTGCTTCACTGCTTCACCTGACTCATCAACGAAGGAGCCATCCAGCAAGGTGAGATGTGATGGAGCCAGTTGCACCTGTGCTTGTCTGGTGTCTCGTTGCCTCTCCCTCTTCTTGCCATGGCTGGAGATCCCGAACTTGTTCTCGGCTCGCATTCTGACTTGCTTCATGAGTTCGTCATGTTTGACCCACAAGAATCGCACCCCTGGCTTGGACGCCAGTGTCTTCAGTTCTGCCCATGGGTTCTTTGCCCGCAACGCCTGATCCACCGCCTTCTCCCCCAAGGGCCTGAATGCCGGCAAGGGCTCTCTCATCACTTCTATCCTCTGGGACACCTTTGTCTACCAACAGGCTGGAAAGTCTGGTGAGCAACATGTCTGGTCCTCCACCTCCACAACCTCTGGGGCCCTCACGTTGCAGTCCTCTCAGCACTAGCGCTTCATGCCAATCATCAATGTCGCCTTGGCTCATCACATGGCCTCCACTCAGGATCCATTGAAGATTGGCCAGTGCCACAGTGCCACATTGAGTTGGATCTTCTTGTGCATGAACTGTCACATAGTGGACAACGAAGCCTTTGACTGGCCAGATCTGTTCAGCCCACTTGGCAATTTGTGTCACCACAGCACCAAAAGCATGAGGGAGACCATCCAAGTAGTCCACCTCAAGCCAACCATCACAGCACGCAAGGTGAACCACAAACCAATGACCATCAGAAAGGACCATCATGGCAATCTCCTGAGCCATGCCTTCCTGCGATTGGAGCAGCGGATCCAGCCCGTGCCACTCATGCTGGATGAGATTTTGCACCAATGTATCGGGTGCCACCCAGATGTGGCTGCCTGTCATCTCGACGATCTCCTCCACTGCTTCTTGCATTGTGGTGCAATCCAAGCCTTTTGGTGTGAATGACGCAGCCTCATCCTCCTCAGGTTCATCAGTAATCATTGACGTGTGCCACTCTGACAGCATGGAATCTGTTGGGATAGCCTGCAAGCCACATGCAAGCCCTAGATGTGCCAGAGCGACTACAGCACTCATGTCATCGTGAACTTGTGCCACACATCTTCCGTACTTGATCTCTACCTCCTCACAGCTCCAAGCAGCCTTTAGCCACTTTGCAACCTCCTTGATCTCCTGATGAAGGAGATGTGGAAGCCCATCAAAGTAATGAAGCAACAGATGCTGCCCATTCCGAACTCCCACATACAATGCCCAGTGTCCACAGCCCTGGAACAGCCCATAGATCACCTTGGCCTCTCGACATGCTGCGAGACATTTCTCTTCAATCTGAGGCAAAGGGTAAGTGGTTTGAAGACTGTCAGCAATTCTCAACACCATAGCTCCTGGCGGCATGCCTTGGCGTGCTATGTGGTCAACCTTCTCCTGCATCTTACCCACATCCACAATCTCAGTCACCTTGGCGGGTTGGATGTTGCACTTGGCTGGCCCATCCCATACAATCACCTTGACGCACTGGAGCCTCAAGTCTTCCCAGATTCGAGAGTCCGGCCACCACCAATTGTCATGATCATCGAACCAACCTGATGGCCCCTACCTTAGACCCCCCCCTATCTCCACATACCTAGGAATAATTAGCAATTATTCCTGGGGCCTTGAACATAGTTTCAGGATAATTATTCCAGATGTGCACCTGATGCAGGAATATTTTCTGTCATTAGAAATATCAACTCGTGGAACAGATCCAAGACAGATCAACACAGGCTCGAAAAGCTTCGATAGTAGCTTCGATTATGTAAATTATTCCAGGGATAGTTGGCATGAAATTATTCCTCCTGAGTCTCAGCATCAAGAGACCCCCTTTAGGATTATTTAAATAAATATTCTACCGTCTAATTATTCCACAAAAAATATTCCACTATGTGACATGCCCCCCTGGAATAAATATTTAAGGGAGGGCCCATCCAACCTGTCGGGACTACTTGCATCTGGAGCTGCCAGAAAGCCTGAAAGACGAAGTCACCGGCTCGGATCAAAGTTTGACACGGCCCACAGTTGGTTTCAATCGTCACCTTCACTAAACCAAATGAACCGCCTTGTGTCTCCACCGGGATGTCAATTAGGTCATATGCCCCCATCTGTCCTGCCTGTCGAACGAAGGCATAGTCAGGCACCACATAGTTATGATCCAGCAGCCGCTGTCGGCAGGTACGATCCCATCGGTTGCTGGCATCGATGAGCGTGCCTGCTTTGGTGCCCTCTGGAATCAGCACGGTGAAGCCACCATTTTCCACACTCCACAAATGCGTGTGCACAACACCCGATGTAAGGGCTCCTGGCAGTACATGATATGCGCTCACACATAACTGCTTGAGGTACTTGTGCAAGATCTCCTCCGGTGCATGGCATCCTGGGTTCACCGAGTCAAGGCATTGTGACAAGATCCACAACGCTTGAGCTGGCGCAGCGATCTGCCCTAGCATGACAAGTGAGGCCTTGAGGTCATCAGCAATCTGCAAATCAGGTGGGAGAGTCTGAAGCAATGCAACCTCTCTGGGATGTAGCCATCGAGGCAGATTCGTCTTGGCTGAATGAACATAACATCCACGTAGTCCACCTCTGGCTAGCCTCTGAGGACTCAGCCCGGAGTTTCTGCATCCACACGGGCATGACCTGAGTGCGCAGCTGTAGCTGTGCAGGAACGTTGCACAGATTGAGGACTCTCTGATCGCTGCCCATTTCGGGGTCATGCATGACCTGTAGCTCAAGCCCATCAAGCTCCAGTTGTCGTTCGGCTTCATCATCCCATCGACCCCAATGACCAATAATCTTGTCAATCGCATCAAACTCAAACTTGGGCATGGGGCGCAAGGTGGTCAAAATCATCTCAACTGGGATCATGACAGCCCACCACCTGGTTCGTCTGCAAGGCCAACTGTCCTCAAGTGCAAGGATCTGAGTCAACAGGCGGAGGCCCAAAGCACTTGCTAGAGCACGGAGGGAGTCACCAATGAACTGGATCTGATTGACTTCTGGCACGCATTCCAGCATCAGCATTGATGCTTGGTTCAACCAAGCGCCCTTCAGGACTCCCTGGAATGGGGCTGACCTTTTGTCCCCGAATCCTAATTGGTCCCCCTGTCGTGAGAAGGCTTGGCATGGGAAGCCAGCCATCCACAAACATCCTGAGGTGGGTTCACAACATTGAAGACGAAAAATGTTGTCATCCTGCAAAATGTCGCCCAGCATCGGATTTTTGTGGCCATTCAGCTTCAAATGCTTTATTGCCAGCCAGTTAATGTCCATGGCAGCAACTGACTCTAGGCCCAGCACTCCCGCAGCTAGGCTCATACTGGCCAACCCACAACAAACCTCTTTCGCCTTTTGAGGGATCCGGGGTCCATCATTGCTCACAACAAACTTGGTGCATTCATCAGTCCGGAGAACGATACCCCCATCCTCCATGGTGACAAGAGCACCATAAATGGTCACCTTTTGAACCCCTTCATCCAGGGAACAAGCCAAGACACCAAGGTCCTGAGTAAGCACTTGCGTGCACTGCCATCGATCATGAGCAAGTCGCTCGTTCACCGCGAGCACCCCAGTCCAGCGGTCACCAACCCTGTCGGTAAGGCGACACTCCAACATTGGCACCCACCCCTCGAGCGTCAGTCGCGAACAGTGCACCAAACTGGAAGGTCTCGAGCCGACACTTTTTCCGCGGGGTAATCAAAAAATGCAAACAACATGGCCCAGGTTTCAGAAGATCTAGGCCCCATGTCACTGCTGCAGTTCTTCGTGTGCCTTCTGTGATCAAGACGTGTGGCATCCCATCCAATTACACGCCCAGTCGCAAGAACACAGCTGTAATCACCCTGATGACCGCAAAGACGACAATCGTCACATAAAAAATGAAAAAGAGCGAGAAGGCCTGGCGTCGCAGGGAGCCCTGAAACCATGGGATCCTGTAAACCATTTGGTTCCCAGTGCCCCTCTCTTCACTAGATGGTAGGGAGGACTTAGATCACAGGCGATGAAGTCTACAATGGTCTAAAGAATGTGATATGTGTTCACCAAGGGATGCCATGACACTCTTTATCATGTGTTTTAATCAAACACCGTGGTGCTGCACTGTGACGCCCAAAACCCACCCGCAAACCGGTGGGAAACTCCAGAACCGGAGAACCTGTGTTTATGTCACCGTCTTGGGATGTCATCCGGGATCCTGACTCAACAAGAAGCTAGTAGTAACAAGTGCCACGCTAGTAGTAACAGGTGCCTTACTAGTAGTAACAAAAAGCTAATATTATAACTAATTTTAAAAACAAATTTAATAGCTTCTTGTTACTACTAGCGTGGCACCTGTTACTACTAGTAAGGCACTTGTTCCTAGTAGCATGTCAAATTCCAAAACGAACTGCCTGGTTCAGCTCCAGAACGGGTTCCGCATTCACAGGCCAATTTCCTGCCGTGGTCAGACGATGGATCAGCGGTTCATGCTATCAACGCGATAGGTCCCAGCCTGCCATGGTTACTTCGAAGAGAGTGTAGGTTGCCTGGAGTCTAAGAAAAATGAAACAAGCAAAAGTATGCAAAAGTGAAAAACAACATTGCTCGCTCCACCCTGGATCCCACCCACACTCCGTTGAAATGCAACACGACCCGGGATCTTGGGCTATCTAAATGGACAAGGTGTTCAAAAAAGATTTGCACATATGTGCACATTATAATGGCTTTTCACACGTGCTGCTCCGTCCTACTCCTTTTAAGGCCCATCGAGGGACTCAGCTTGACGACACCTTGGAAATCTCGCAAGAAGATTAATATAGATTAATATAGTAATTTAGTATCATTTATATATAACATATAGATTAAGAGCATGAATTGGAACAGACAAACATGAAGAATGCCCCTGTTAGTCGGGAAGCTTTAAACACAATTGGCGACCAATTCCAAAGATAAACCTCCCGCAAACACATATACAGTGGTTTCAGGAGTACAGTGGGATTGTGCCCTGTACGACTCCGGCTCACTGTCTCCGAGATGCTCGCCAGGCAGTGCCATAGTGCTCCCAAAGCCAAAGACGATGGGCATATTCCAAGGTCTCATCTGCAATGAAGTCTTGCAAAAGGTTTCCGATCCTAGGAATGTTCGCCGCACTGAAGAAAACACAGACCTTGAAGTACTGAAGAAAACACTTGACTTGCCTCAAGCATGGTTTGTCAATGGGTAACAATGGCCGAGATGCTGCACCAAACGTACAGGGTAACATCAGCAATGTTACTTATGCAAAGCCAGCCCATCACAGGAAGCAGTGCCGAAGAAGGGATGCCCATCGATCAGTCTTCACTATTCTCTGGTTCTGATTGATTGGTGAGTCCCATTCTTGCACATACTGTGCTGCCACAGAAGGATCGGTGTTGGTAAAGATCATGGGGTCATGTGCATGTAGGCGATTCTGGCTGGCACGTTCAAACATCTTCACTGCCCTGAAACATCACAAGATCTTCTACCACTATACCCAGAAAGTGATCAGCTGGGATTTGTCAGGTGGTCTCATTTGCCAATAATTATCTGCCAAGGTCAGTGAAAGACAAACCCTTGCCTTTGCTAGGCAATCCTGATCAAAGAAGCAATCGCAAACGCGCGCGATCCCCAAATGAGTTTACAAGCTATACATTAGTAGCTCCTACAGTACTTAGTACCTGGGACTTTTACCCTTCCAAGCCCGAAACGCAGCCATGCTCAGGATTGCCTTGTAGTCACGGAATCAGTTGAGTCAAGCTGCAGCAGGGAGCCCATCGACATCAATACTCCAAGCAAAACCTCGGCTGCACATCTTCGTTTATTGACGAGGGCGAGCGGAAGGTGCTGTTTCGATATTGTGCCTGTTTTGTCCTAAGCTCTTCTGAGGAATCAGCACGGTATCAGCATTCGGGCAATTACAAATAGGTGGTCAATAGGTACTACCACCGCCGGCAGGAGTTTGATTTCCAAGAGTAAGAGGCCCAGAATGGCCCAGGTGTTGACTCATCCAATGTCTCCAACCTTCAGCAAGGAACCATTGCCCAGCATAGGGATGGCAAAAAGCACCCACAGGCCTTCACCAGAACTCCTCAGTCCCGGCTGCGTGAATGAAACAGCTGTAAACATGTGCTTCTGGAAAGGATCTACATAAGTCTCAGTTTGTCTTCGCAGGCAAGTGAATGCACACCTCCAAGTAAGTTCTCTTGAAAATTGACCCTGTATTTTAATTGGCCTGAACATTCACACATGCATGAATCGAGCACCAGGATGAAAATGTGACTCAGAAGTGATGACATTAATTAGGAAGGGGCAAAGGATGGAAAAAAGGGGTAACACATGGAGAAGGACAAGGAGGCCTTAAACATTTTGAGAGGATTCTGCACATCCGCTTACAACACGGCAAACCGCAGCAAATCCGCAGGACTTTCGCAAAAATCTGGGGGGTTCTTTCGTCAGGTCAACATAGCCAATACTCTTGACGCCCGCCGGCTTCCTGAACATTGTATATCATGCGGCTGCTCATGCGCACAATCATTCACACCCGCCAGCCCTTCCTTAAACATTTGGCACACCAAGGCACGTAGCCCTCTGAAGATTTTAAAGCTGCGCACCATGCGAATCGCACGCAAAGACTTCATCACACGTACCAGTCGCAAAAGAATGATACCTAAGAAACGAAAGAACGGTTTAGCATCTGACACATTGTCAGTACAGGGACTGCATAGGCAGTATGGGGGAGACAGTCATACCTGTACTCCAGACTGGCTCTGGACCTCAACACTGAACTTATATAAACCTGAACACTGTCATTCCATGTCATTCCGAAATGTTCCAACCATCCTACTACCCGTCACCATGTGGTTGGACTTCATTCAAGTCCATTCTTTAAAGAGTGGAACTGCGTGGAAAGCTCCTGTTTTTCTTGAAATTAACTCTTTGATGGTACTGTCTTTTTAATGCGTAGTGCCCTCGTGGCTATGCCCCACATACCACCAACGTCATGTCTGTCTGACCTTTTGCACATTTCTGCAATACTAGTTGATATATAATTATATATGTAATGTCAGTTGGTGTGGCCCCATGACACCCAGATTGCAATTACAAAAGGCTTGAACCGATCCTTTTCCGGGACACATTGGTGTCTGACACACACACACACATATATATATATAGACACCACAGAACCCTCCGATCCGTGTAGCATTCGGCTCGGCGATCGTTTTCGGCCAGGGCACTCTGTGAAGCTGAGGTTTCTTCCATTGAAATTGTGATGAAAAAATCCACCAGCCCTCCAATGGCCAAGGCAGCATCCAACCAATTGGCGGCATCTAGGAGAAAGGTCCTCACTGATATCTGGCAGCATCGGAGCCACTCCGCTACTCTCTACTGCGCACCCTCTACGGACGATACTTGCTGGTGCGTCCTTGTTGCATCCTTGTGGCATGTGGACCAAGAGGACAGGTGCAAAAAGAACAAGCAACATCTGCCCCGCCTTCTCTCCACTGCAACACGGAGGACCAGTTCCAAGAAGAAAACAATGCTGAAGCCATCGTTGATGATCTCAGCCAGTCAGTGAACTGGAAAAATGGTGTTCATTCCCAGGATTGTTGTAGCAGAACTTGGGATCGGTATACTGCGCGATTGCGTTTCACACCTAGGACTACAATGAAAGATATCTAAAAAAGGTCATCTGGCAAACAAACAGCTGAGGACACTAAAGTAGCATACAAATATTAATAAATATACAAAATCAAATACAACAATATGCATGATAGGACAATGGGCTTGCTAAACTACAATGGGGCAATAAAGCACAGTACTGCAAGCCATTGCGCATATTGGTGGAAAAGGCAGGCAGGAAAAAAAACACCTCGCTGAATCTAACAAAGCCATAACAGATCTACGAGCACCCCCCCTGCTACTGCCAAGCTTCCGTGCAAACACGCAGTGCTCCATCATGTGATTGGGTGGCATAACCCACTTTGCCTCACATGACAGCACTGCCCAGCAAGGTTTCAACGCATGGGGCTGTTGGCATCGAAATTCGTATCAAGGCTCACCTCAGTTGCCCTCATGATAGCTGCCATTAGGATCCATTAGGTTGCGTTAGGCCGTATGAAATGTCTGTGGATTACACAACTCACTACATTTGGCCCCGAGGTGCTGCCAAGCTGTAGGCCTCCAAGCTGAAGCTCCAAGAGCATTACCACAGAATTCCTAAGTGGCGGCACATGCCGACCATGAAGTGCTTAAAGATGGGGGGCCCTTAGCAGAGTTGTGTGCAAGGGGCCCCCGAAACAATAAGAGTTTATTAACTATTCCTGACCCTAGTTGCAGGGTTGAACAAAAGTTATTGCTGTGGTATGCTGTGGTTGCGTATTTTATTCCAGAATAGTGTTCACATCAATGTGCCCTCAGAAGACCCATCAAAATCATTAACAATAATCTGCAAGAGGAGACACACAGAACACACCAATACAAGTCAAACAATACGTCAATCTTGTAGTTGTAAACACAAAATATGTATATATATATATGCATTTACAGCATATCTGTGTATAGTCTTCCTCTGGGCAGAAAGTATTGTATTCAAAAATGCATTGTTTTTGTTGCTGTTGTAT